TCTTTGTGTTGCTGGTGTTTTATACTGGAATGACACCAAGCATTACAAGAGCAATCTTCATGTTCATTGTCATTTGTTCAGTCATTATTTCATGTTAATCTTATCATTATAAAGGCTTGTGTTGTACTGCATGTTTTCTGTATTTCTGCGATGACTTTCACTAGCTTGGACAGACCAGCCATTTCCAATTAACCAAAGCCAAAGTTGTGATCCAATATATTTCAATCCATAGCAGATGGCAGTAAAAGGGGTTTGGCACGGATGTGGGGGAAAAAGAGAAAACTTCTTGGTTGCTGAAGAGGCAGAGTCACTATTGCTGAGTACTTTGTGAACATCGGGCTGGACTGGATGGATGGTATCGCCGTACCATAGAGAAAGCTGCTCATGGGAGAGAAAGATTTTCAGTTCCAGAACCAGGAGGGGTCGAGCTTTTATCCAAGGTTTTACACGGTACCGCTGTGCTGGTTCTGTTTGTTTGTCTCACAAATGTTTTGGACGGTGGAGTTTGTGTCTCCGCAGGTTTTTTTGCAGTGAACATTCTCCTACGGTTGGCATCTCACTGCACTGAAGTATGAAGTTCTCCTTTTTTAACCTGAACGACAAAATGACTCGTACCTATAGCTGGAAACATGCTGCATATTTCAGAATAAACCCCTAATTGAATATCTGGCGGCAGGCAGAGTACTGTTTATGGGTATTACCATCTAACTGAAGAACCACCTGTTCAAATCCTGCATGGACATTACTGTTGTACCCTTGTGAATCTGTATAACCAGAGTTGTTTCACTAACCTGCAAAATTTATTAAGTTGTCAGCTATATTGTTTTGAGAAAAACAAAACAAAAGCTAAAATAAATCTGGATGGATCTCTGAGGCTAGCCATTGTAAAAGTGTGTATGTGATTCTGTTAATCTCTGTACAGCAGTATGCTGTACCCAGCTACTGAACAAATCATGCCATAAAGACCAATACAATAACATGATAAAACGAAACAATACATAAGTTTTACATATTATGTTGTTTTTCTTTCGTTCAGCATTTATACCACATTGCAACAGGTTAAGAAAAAAAAACTTTTGTGTTTCAATAGGACTAGCAATATTGAAACGAGTAATTTGTGTTTAGTGATTTCAATTCTCAAGACGTGCTCTTCTCCTGACTGCCAGATGGTAATGGTGCTGGAACAGCTGAGATGAGGATCTCAGAAGGGAACAGAAAGAGACAACATAGGGATGCAGTAGCATTTTGCTCTTTACTCATGTATACTGATGATATATTATACAGTCATAATGTTCTTTCAAAATGTTCCTGCCATTTTAATGTTTCAGTTTTTTGCCTAAATTTTAAAGTGGGTCATTGAACTTCACTCATGGGAGTTTTGCTAGCACAAAAATGTTCCGATGGCAGAACAAAAAAAAAAATTAGTTCAGGGAGATAACCAATCAGATTGTAGAGGAGGTGGGTTCAAGCAACCAATCAGATGTCTTGTCCCGCCTCCTCTTGTTGCATGGACCCAGCTCCTCTACAATCTGATTGGTTATCTCTTTGAAGAAATCATTTTTTTGTTCTGCCCTCAGAACATTTTTGTGTAAGTTAAACTCCCACAAGCTTGAACTTGCTGGAATTCTCTTTGCTTGGTCAGCAGAGGTTGTTAAACTATTCAAAATTAAATGCCACAAACTGTTGTTTTGAGCATTTTTTTTCATTTTTGCAGATTTTCCATTTTGCATGTCAGATTCTCTTGTTCTTTGATAGTACAAACCTCTGTTGTTGTCCAGTATTATTTTTAACTAACTGCATTCTGACATGAGATAAAATAAATTTCATGCATGCGACAAATCAGATGTGAAAAGCACCCACTTGCGGTAAAACCTCGTTGTGATGCTGGGACGGAACTAATTGCGTCCATGTGCACCCTTCACGGGCGTGTACCTGCTAAGCATGGCTCCAGGTTAAACGTCGGCTTCCAAGAGCTCGAGAACAAGGCAGAGTGGGTCCTATCCCCCCCCCCCCCCGCCCCCACCGAGGGCAGGAACAACAAGGGTACAGCAGCGAGAGATTTCCATGCCACCTGCCTTTGCCAAGGAGACATGTCTGAATTCCAGAATATCACTTTGAATTCCTTCTCCCTAAAAATACTGAGGCCTTAAGAGGACAGTCGAGCAGTTGAACCTCTCTGCCAGCATCTGCCTCCCATCTCCTATGGAAGGCCACCTTCTTTCCTGGTGGCCGCTACCTGTGAAGCTGTTTTCTATGCCTTTTCGATGGACGACTCTTGGCTTGCCATATTTGCCAATTGTCATCGTTCCTGTTTAAAATGAAAAAGCCAGCTGGCCAGTAAAACAGGTCCATCTCTCCCGGGTCACTGTGTCTCCTAGGTTCCATCTACACAAGGGCACCTTCTCTGAGGCCCACGGAATGTGTGACCCTCAACCGTCAATGATCATCATCACTATTATTAGCCGTTAGTATGCGGAAAAAAAATACTTTAATTCATTGTGAAATATCAGATCTGTGGAGGGCTGCAATCTGATACAATAAAAACAAAAATTAAAATTCAAAAAAGCTTTTAAATATTGTTTGTATTATGTCTTCATGCAAACTGTGGATTAATGCAACTTAAATTTTACCAGGGGGAAAATATGAGTTTTTTTATGCATTGTTAATTATTTTTCCCAGAGCAGTCTAATTAACTCAACAAGGCCTAGTTGTGTTAGCCTGAAGCTGGCCAACAATTGTCCGGCTCTCAGGTGTACATGGGCTTCACAGTAACATTTACGGAAATGTGTCTCCTGCTCAGCCCAGCTCTCAGTTTAGCAAAGCCCCACTTACAGAGCAACAGTGGAAAGGCAAGTTTGACAGCATCGATATTAGCAGAATAATGCAGCTGTTGCAGAAGTTTGGGAGGTGAAGATGGGTGGAAAGCTTATTTTGAGCCTCATCGCTATTCCACTTTATAGGGAATCTGCTGAGAACTTTTATGCTGAAGAGGATCTGTATCTGTTCATTCGCCACTTCCCCGCCTGAAGGAGGACGGTGATTATGCGAGTCACGTCGCCATATTAGCTCACGAGCTGCATATTCTGCAGGTGGAGTAGAAGCTACTCCACCTGCAGCTGCTGAAAACGTGTTGCTGAACTGCGTAGAGTCGCTTTACCAAATAGCAGATGATGGCTGCACAATCCTTGAGGGTTTTACAGATACTGTCTATAGTTCCGGAGGTCAATGTCAGTCTATGGTTTATTTTCACACCTAAACAGCTACCATTCATGGGGATCCTTATTGTTGCCAAGGAGATGAAAGCGTCTCATCCGATCCTTCTGTATTCTTGATTAGAAATTAGTCTCTGTCTTTGTTTTAAGATAATCTTTTTCTGGTCTGAGAGAGTTTCCATTTTTTAATACTATCAGATTAGTTTATATGAGTTTGTTCTGTAGCCTCTTCTCAAGTGCCCTCCTGTTAAAAAAGTATTTAAAAAATAGGACCTATTTTTGACTTGAAAATATGGCCTGTTTACCAATTTTATACCCAGTGCAAGCACAAAAGTTATCATTTGTTTTACATATAATAGACATGTTGTCAATACACTGCATATTGGATGGAGATAATCATCAGTTTAAATGTCATCATTAAAAATAATTTACTCGACTCTGTGCAGGAAAGCAAAGCGTTGATTGTCAGCAGTCCATTCATTAAAATGTCACGTTTACCCCAGGATTGTGTAACAGAACGCGTAAGCTGTGCAAACCTTCCCTCAGAAGGGGGCCTTTCTTCTCCTCAATATCCCTTCATCAAAATGCGAGTCACGTGGCCCCGTTTCCAGAAGCTGCCCCCCTTGCCTGAGTCACACAGTCCTATAGTAATCAAATGCTGCCTTTCAGGCCCCAGGCTCCTGTGAGCTTCTAGTCCTTACAACAAGCGCAGCAAGAAATTATCACTTTAATTCTAATGAGTGCCCTGAATTTTGGCTGTACATTCAAAGCCTGGGTCAGAACCAGTTAAATCCGAAGGTGTGTATTATGCCTAAACGCTTAGCTGCGAAAACTTTAGAGGGCAAGTAATTCGGAGTGGCAAGATAAATAGCTAGTCAGTAAATCTTTTAGCTACAATAAACATATCTCTTGTATGTGTTCATATACGGCAAATTATGTCAAGCAACTTTTTTTGATAACGTAAATCACTGCCACAAGATTTTTAACAAAATATAAATGTAAAGCTGTTATAGGCCTGGCAGGCCTATTTACAACTCAAATGTGGTGTTTTTTGTTTTGTTGAAAATGCGTTAAAGCGGTTAAAATTAATCTATATTCAGTTCTGCACGCAACATCTGTTTGCTCCCATTCGTATTTTACATCATCCCTACTGCATTCAAACACAATTCATCTGTGTGTGTGTGTGTGTATATAGGGAATGCGAACATAAGCCGGAGTTATTTAATAAGTAATTTAAATGTTTAATAAAGATTAACACTTCTTAATGGACTGGGGGTGAAGTAAGCGTAGTGAGATGCCTTGATTTCCTTGTTATACGGCCAGTGATTATGGAATGAGAACATGCGATACGAAGTAACCCAGGAGCGATCAGCCTCAGTTCGTGTCTGTAAATATAACGCTGAGTGTGTAACAAACTCCCAGCCTCTCGATAAACGGCAAAACCACGAAAGGGGCTGAGCACCGGGGAAATGGTCCCATCTTTCTGATATGCAAATTGCTGCAGCATGAAATAGAAGGAGAGACGCAACGAGATTAAGCAATGGCGTGATATTAAATCAGCGATAGCTTCCTTTTTGGCGGTGAATAGGTGAGAGGTGGGATTCTTCCAGTCCCTGGTTCAATAATAAACAGAAACACAAAATTCACGCACATACTCAATCGGCGTTATAGCAATATTTTGTACGCTTGATACGGAGGTAGCCCTTTAAGACCATAATTCGCAGCTGTGGATTGTTTCTGGTATTTCCATTGGGCGGCGGTAAATGTATATTTAAGCGAGATCCGCGCTGCCTGCCGGGGCTCATAGACTCGCTGATGATGCAGCTGGTGTCTTTGGAAACAGGCTAATAACTTTTTTTCGTATCCTGGACGCAGTATGCATTTCTTGCGATGTACTTATGCTTTTTTTCTGGGGGAGTAAACGCTTTTACGCTTTAAGGTACATTTTTTTTTCTCCCCCAGCAAGCATAATGCAGGTTTAACGCGCCGTTGAAAGCCGCTCCATTAACTTCCTGCGGGCTTTAGGACCACGTAGAGAAATTCATAAGGAGCCAGTGTTGTGTGCTTTTCACATAGCGGCACTCTGAAGGAAACCCCCCATCGGACCTGCTATTACAGGATACTCATGAAATGTACAGAGATCTGGCTCCTTCCGCGCTGCAGCCCTGCCTGCGACCGCACATGTGCATGTGGGGATGTTGAGCGGCGACGGCACGTTTGGAGGATCCTTGATCAACAGCTCCTGTCATAGAGGAGGCGGACTTCTTTGATGTTTAATCTCGCCCTTCAGTCTCTCTCTCCGTTTAGTCTTTCTCTCTCATTTTGTATTTTGTCTTTAATAGTTATATTTTTCGCATTTCTGGATCACGTTTATTTGAAGGAAGCTTGGCAGTTTGTCTGGCACCTCACATCGGAGAAAACCTAAACAATTTTTTTGGATTAAACTCACTTTTGGACAACTTGGTTGTTGCTTGAATGGGATACCTGGATGAAATATCATTTACACCCCACATACTTAAATCAGACGGAACCATTCTTTGTGCTGATCCGGCGTTTTGATGACCGTATGTTTTCTTATTGACTGACACCCAATCGGACAGTATAGAAAGCTCATTATAGGTAAGCAGAATCTTTCCATCTTTTGACATGGCTTCCTTCAGCAATCGTTTGTTAAAGTTGCTGTTTTTTTTATAATTTTTTTCCATTATGAGATCGGTGATTGCGGCGACGTAGCGATCCGTTGAATTTGGAAATAATAACCGGTATTAATAAGGTTATAGCAATAAAGAAAACCCTTTTTCTTATTGTGACATTTTATATTTAAAACTTTAGAGTCTGGTTAAATTACAGACCATCGGGCTTGCCTGCAATGGCTTTCAAGTTCACCACTTGGCAGCAATTCAGGTGAGATGGACATAATCCAATCTATCTGTATCTCTATAGCCATCTGCGGTGCCTGCATGATCTCCCACATAGTTGAAACCAGAATTAGCCAGCAGATTTTTTCTTCTATTTCGCGTTATGTGTTGACCAATCTAATAACAAAATTCTGGTGAATTTGAAATGATTTATTATTAGAAATCACCCACTGCGGTTATGTCTGGACGTATATTCTAGCAACCGCGTTGAAGAAACCTACATCCACTTACCTAACTTTTGTTTCTCCCTTGTGTAGCATTTTGTTTAAGTGTTGTTTAAGTCACACAGAAATACTCCATCGTTTTAACATGAAATTCCGTCCCATCCATTTCGTTCAGGCAATTAAAACCAACTTATTAAAGCTGTGTTTTAATGGAAAACTTAGTAGGTGCGATATAGCAGTACAAAAGAAAAAGATGGATTGTACAGGCATACATATTAGCGATGTTATGATGAAGATTGGCTCTTTTTCGTGTATGGTTGCATGCGTGTATCTATACATGTAGTGTTTGCTTGTGTGCATGAAAGGAGCAGTAAAAAAATCAAACGACATTTTCTGGTCTCGGAGGCTGGTTATTTAAACCTTATTCGAATATGGTTGCATGGCTTTAAGTTGGTTTATTTTCGACGCGTTTAATTATGGCACAACATGCGTTATTGTTGGTCTGCCAAGTTCCCGGTGGTGCCCGGAGGATCGGCGCATTTTCCCTGCTTCACGCAACAGTATGAGCGACTGTCTAAAGCCCAGAAATCGGTGCTTGTCAATTGTATCTCAAGCCATGCAGCATCGTCTCGACCGCTTTCCTATGGCTCTAGTCTATTTTGTTACATATATAATGTAGCCTAGCATTTCCCGTTTAATACTGGGAATAAGGTTACAGATAATTACTTATGTAACGTTTTCAAATCCAGTGATCCTCGAAATTACAGGCAATTTAATTGTTGTAAAATGTAGGTTATTACACGGCGTCCGACAAATAATTAGATGGGCTGAGAACAAAAAAGAAAAAAAAAACTGTACCAATGAACAATTTTAACTGATCACGTCGCAATCAATAATCTTTTGGAAGATTAAGGAATAAACACTGTCGCAACGAAACCTGTGTTTAACACAATTGATTTAATCTGTGATATATTGGAGACACTTTCCATACTTACCTGTAGTTTTCGGAATTATGAGTAGAACTAGTTCAATATAGGCTACTGTAAATTTAATGGATGCCATGGAATTTTAAGAAAAGACAGCGCTGGAAAACTGACACGGAGTTGCCATAGGTCGCTTTATAGTGGCCGCCACAATTTAGGCTCAAGATATAAGAGTATAATAATCTACTTCAGATATTACAAAACACCAAAAAGCTGACAAATCAAATTACATTTAAATGCAGTTGATCGATATAACCGGCACACCGCATGCTTGAAGATGAAATCAATATTTTGCTGTCGACTTAGGGAAAGGCTTATTTTGTTGGCATAATGTTTTATAATGGAGACTCGCATTTTCTATCACCGCATTATGCAGTGAAAATACCATCGACTTGTAACGAAGACAGAGCTTCAATACCGGGTTTCTTAACGTTGCTCCCGGGGAACCCAGGGGAATTCTGGATTTTGTTCCAATCAACTTCTTAATTAATTAGGTTTGATTGAGCTGTTTGGAAACGAAGACACGTATGTCACATATAAGGCTAATAGCGACACATCCTTGGGGGGGGGGGGGGGCCTAAAAAAAAAATATTTTATGAACTTTATTTGACGCAATTATTACATTCGAATATAACCGTAAAAATAGCTATCAGTCTTTCTTTAACAAATTAATTGACGATTAATTCTTATTATTAGGGGATTCTAAACAGGCAATTAATATAAAATTAGTTCATATTGAGAGATTTAACATAATGTTAAATGTTAATTAATTATTAAAGTGTTGCTGTTGGTATCATAATATTCAGGACTGGCCTTAATTACAATTAAAGTTTGGACTTTACAACTCAAGATTGATCACTTAATAACCAGTAGCTCAGCTGTAATACCAGATAAGTTGAATTCTTGGCGTAAATCAAGATGAAACATAAAACTTGCCCCCGCCCCCCCATGGACCAAAGTAATGTTACTACATTTCTTATTCTTTTGATGTGTTTATCTATCTATCTATCTATCTATCTATCTATCTATCTATCTATCTATCTATCTATCTATCTATCTTTGGTAAGTCTCTCTCTGCAAGCAGGTTGCTATTGTCTGGAATCCTTTTATATGTATAACTTGGTCGAAACCGCAATACTACATTCGTTCATGGATGCTTTTGGTTTCTTGCTTTCACAGTATGTTCTGTGTTCACACATACATGTCATTATGCCAAAGATGGGCTGTGTACATTTCACCTTCTGGTTCTGCTACATGAATGGGGATGACATCTCTTCAGTTCTGACTCGATAGAGCCTGCAGTCATTTACATAACTCTCCACCCCCCACCAACCTCTGTTTGCATATTACATTGCATGTTAGGTAAACGCCTAACACTTTATCAAGCATATTACATGCTGATTTACACATCTTTCCCAATGGGTGCATTAACTTTCAATTGTTTAATATTGCTTCTGATGCTGTGTGGATTATGTGCTGTTTAAAAGCCATTATGTGGTCATGATGGAGTAGTTCTTGCGTAAATATCCTGGGAATACTGTGTTGCTCCTATACACGAAGGGTGGAATGCCAACCATTAGTATCTTCACTTAGAGGGATATGGCATTTCGACTTTGCTACTTTATTATCAAGAGTACATCATTACTCCCCCATGGTTATATAAATCACACAAGGACTCTCGTTCCCTGGCTAATACTGGTTCGGGAATTCCGGTTTGAACAAGACGTTTGACAATTAATCATGTAATGTGTTTATACAGGTAATGGCTACACTGAAGTTCACATGGAAAGATCTCCCTCTCCCACCCCAGTACCACAAGGAATATGTTTTAATTAATTAAGTGCAGTTTTGATGATGAATTTAATTGCCTTGATTTTCATTTAGACCACTTAATTCCATTTCTTTGAGACACTATCAAGTGGATGTCTTCTGAGAAAATCAGCAGGAGGAACGAACTGCATAATGTGGAGTTCTAGAAGGAAAAAAACGCAAGTTAGCGATGAGTTTAGAGTGAATTTAAAGCCGTCATACTGCTAAAATCCTTTGGCTTTGTGACTGAAACATGACACCTCTCCACCAGACCTGCCAGTTCCCGTCGCCCCCGTGAGCAAATCCTTTTCCCAGGCTTGACCTGATGCTCACTGTCCCCTCATGGCAGGCTGATATTTATGATTTATGCAGAGTCGTCGTCATGCCTGCGGCTTTGATCGGCAATCAAACTGCACAGTCAATTAAACAGTTTGAAAACGTTTACAGCTGATATGAGAAATAAGATCTGTTGTGACAAATAGGCCGTAACAAAAGGAAATGCAGTGCAGGGTAACTGAAGTAGTTTGACTCTTTTCTGCTGTAAGTCACCCAGAGAAGCTGCTCCCTAGAGTCAAAGTGGGACTTGATAATGATTCTTTTACATAATAATGCATCAGGTCCTGTATTACAGAGAGTGGCTGATCAGGGTGAATGGCCATGAGCCCATCCTCTGCTGGATCTCCGCTGATTTTTCTATTGTGCAGCAAAGTGACTTATTGCTTTAGATTCTACAGAGGATTGATTCTGGTTCACGTTCGTGAGAGTTAAGAAAGGCGACCTGACAGGCAGCCGAATGGATCCTAAATGCTGCCTTATTCTGATTCCCACTCTGTGTTCATTGCAAGTTTGTAGTGCAGGATTTACAATATAGTGAAGACTGCGATTCCTTTCTTCCGGTAGAATGGGTACATATTGTCCCTTGCAGTTCCACTGTTGAGCAAGAGAATCGCAAAAAAGCAGTCAAATGACACTTTCATGCACCGGCCCTTTCGATTTGCGTGGTTGTGTTTTTTCCCCCCAAATCTATGGAGGTTGTTTTGTTGCAGATAAAAGCTGACATGTCATTTAGCCGAACAGCCCTCTGTGTCCAGACTACGCTGAGGCATCGGCTAGAATATCAATGCTACTCTTTAGCAGGGTGACATTATAAGATATAGTGTTCTTAGGGCAGAGTCTCTCTTAATACGAATGTCGTGAGGAGGACAATAGCAATAGATGTTGAAGGGTCTGATGGTGGCTGTGGAAGTGGCAGGCTGTGGAAAAAGTCATGCCATGGTTCTTTAAATGTTATATTTGTTATTTATGTATTTCGTTTTTGAGAACCAGCTCGCCCAACAATGTTCATGGATGCGAAATAGATGTATTGTTAACAAGGTCACAATAATATGCAAAATTGTGATGTAGGGGTTTCAATATTGTTTTTTAGTGTTTTAGTGTTTACATTTTACATACTTAGCAGATGCTTTTGTCTAAAGCTACACACAGGTGAGACAAATATCACACTGCAAACATACTTGCTGTCAAGCAGTCAACTAGGCATAAGTGCAGCCAGGCTGAGCTTAGAATGAATGTCCAGGTACAAGAGTAAGCAGGATTGGAGCAGGAACCACATAACACCTTCTAACAAAGCAAGAACCTAATAAGATTATTCAGTGACAATAAGTGCAGCAGTGTCTATATTTTAAGTATTTCTGTCTTACAATTACAAAGGGGCATCATTTTGTTTCTATTGACCTTAAACGTCA